ATGATTTTATTATACAAAATGTATCCATAATTTATTAAGCCATTAGCCATATTGGAACTTATACTCTCCCCTTTTGGAGGTAGCTTGATATTTACAAAGAGTTTGTTTCTACTTGGAATATCCTTTTCAACATAAACAAGCTCTAGGAATTATTTATTTTGGGGGTTTTTAATTTAAATTAGAAACAATTTTCTTCATATGTCAATCCCAGCTTCTCTCTCCCTCTCCTCCTCCCCCGCCCCCCTCCCACCAGGCCTCCAAGGCCCCCCCAGCCCTCCACTCCATTCCCCAGGGAGGGTGAGGCCCTCCCTGGGGGATCTCCAGAGTCTGTCATTTCATTCGGGGCAGGACCTAGGCCCTACCCCAAAAGTCCAGGCTGAGAGAACATCCCTCATTGTGGAATGGGCACCCAAAGCCCATTTGTATGCCAGGGATAAATACTGATCTACTACCTAAGGCCCCATAGATTCCCTAGGCCTTCTTATTGACACCCATATTCAGGGAGTCTGGGTCACTCCCATGATGGCCTCCCAGCCATCAGTCTGAGGTCCAAGAGCCAACAGGAAATCTTATAATGTGAAATAAGCCAGATGCAGAAAGACAAATTCTCTCATTTGTGGGCCCTCTAATTCTTTATAGACATAAAAGCATACATATACTTTATACACACACACACACACACTCACACACGAGATATGAATAACATTGGAGCAAAATGGAGACCAGAGAAGAGAGGAGATAAAGGAGAGGAGAAAAGAAGAAGAGGATGAACACAGGGAACAAGGAAGTTTGGACATGATCAAAGCACATGGTACATTTGAAAGGAATCATCTACATCAAACCCAATACTGTGTATTATGAAAGCATGCCAGTGAAAGGGAAAATCCAAATTTTTAAAAAGTAAATGTTGACAAAACACTGTCCTTTTCTAAACGCTCTCCACTAGTTCTCTGCAGGAAAAAGTCCATAGCAGCAGCAAAGATTCCATGCTTCCTCATATGCCTACTGATATCACACGATAGTAAATGGACTGTGCATGGTGTAGGGAGGTGGGAAGTTGAAGATATTCAAGGAGCAAGTATTTTATTTACTTCAGGCTGCACATAGATCTCCACACCAGTCACTCATCCCTACCCACCAGGCATCCCATTAGTAACATGGACTCTAGCACAGTGTGGACTGGAAAAGCTTGGTGGAAAAGGAGGTAGCATGCAAATTTTGATATAAAATTAATGACTGTTTCTCTCTTACACTGACCTCCTCTAAACTGTTCAATTTTATTTCATTTTCCAGGTGTTTTCTTGGAGAGAAGCAAATATCCTATTAATATCTGAGGGTCAGATATTTGTAACTTCTTAAGATCTAATAGGAGTAACTTAACTAGGCTAAAAGAAAGACATCATTTGAATCAAATTAACATGATAAAATAGTGATATGATAGCAAGATCCAAACTAACATATGCAGGACACAGCATCATGGTTAAAACAGACGCTGGAGTAAACACAGGAATTGAATCCGAACACATCATTCATCCACTCTGCAGGGCTGGATAAAGCTACTGAATTTCTCAAAGGCAAGTATTCTTCATTGAGAGCATTGCAGTCATGAAGACAGCATCCTTAGACGGGCTTGATGGCAATACAATAATATACTTGAAGAGCACTCAAATCAGTGCTTCTAAGTAAGTGCTTAAGAAATATTCTTTCACTTAACATGATCATAATAAAGCAACAGATCATGCGAGGAAAAATCCTGATCTCATGTGCTACCATACCAATAATCTCAGCACTCAAGAACTGTAGTAGCTGAGGTAGGAAAACCAAGAGTCAGAGGTCAGCCTTACTACACTGCAAAACCCTATCTCAAGCGTGGGGGCAGGGTGTAGCAAAGGAAATGGGGAGGCAGGAGGAAGGAAGAGCAAAGACAGGAAAGGGGGATTCTGGAGATACGAAACAAAAGCAACCTATTTCTGGTGTTAAATCACAAAACTAGCTTCTGTTCTCCCTTCATAACTGTGACCCAGTTCAAACGTTTTAAGACTTAGTTCTAAAAGTCAGATTCTGTTACGATACAAAATAAGTTAAATTATGTATCATCCTATGCTAGTCAAAGCTAACAAAGTATGTACAGTAAGAGAAATTACACAATCTGGGCCAGGTCCTTGCTGGGACCCTGCCTGGTTCCTGCTGTTTTCTGAGAATAATCATAGCATCTAGAGAAAATCATGCAACACAAGTAAGAACATGGGTTCTGGTCCCACTGCTAACTCACTGGGTGATCTCAGACCAGTTTGTACAACTTCACTGAGCCCTTTTTCCTTCGTTGTACAATGGACTAAAGATAGCCTGCTCATATGAGATCTCTAAAATGTCCACTTAAACAGGACACTCCTGTAATTGTGGCAATCAGACCATTACTTCTATGATTCAAACAGCTCTGTTACCCATGGCAGCATCTCTGTGACACTGAAGCATTCTCAGAATGGATGGAAAGTCAGAAATAGGCTGGAGTGAGAACGCTGAAGCATGTGGGGGAGCAGGCAGATTGCCTGATATATAATTATGGGCCACTAAAGGGAAAGGAATTAACGGAATGGACTTCTTCATGCCCCATACCAAATGGATCTAAACGCAAAATACAAAACCATGGAAGAAAACACAGGGGAATTCACTTATGACTTAAGAGTAAGAAAGTATTCCCAGCTCAAAACCAAAGCCAAGGAGGGAACTAAACACCATCTCGATGTGGACAAAAGCTGAAGAGCCCCAGGAATGAACTTTTCAAATGTGATCCGACCTTTTCAATCATAAGCGCAATGAAAATTGAAGTACAAGCTCTCATTTTGCACCTTTTGAAATAGCATAAATTCCCAAACTTTGATGACATACTATGTTACTGAGACTGTGGAGGAACAGGCTATGTCATATATTGCTGTTAGGAACACAAACAGCTCCACTCAATGAGGGGGGGGTGGACTTGGCAATATCTACCAAAATTGCATATGCATTTGCTTTTTAACCCATCAGTCTCTCTCATAAAAACCAACCCCCAAGGGTATCATACTGGCAAAACATGGGATGATAAATGTACATTATTATTCATTGCAACACTAGTAATAGCAAGAGACTGGAAATGGCCCAAATGCCCATCAGCAAGGGACTGGTTGGAGAAACTGCAGTCTAGCCACATAATGAAGCTGTCAAAGGCACAAGGCAGACAGCACCGTGCCTCAGGAGTGCTCTCCATGATCAGCAGGAACCCGGAGAGGCAACTTCAGAAGACCGCATCTTCCACCAGTCACACAGCACAAGGGGAACACATGCTGTATAAACACAGGCCTACGCATCAGAAACAACAAAAAAAAGGCAGATGAACCAAAGACAAAAGAGATGAAAAAACAAAACAGTTTCCAAGAAGGGAGCAGACTAGGAACAAAGAAATACAGGCAAAACCTGTATCTCTCCCAGGGTAGTTCATGTCAGAGTTTTGACTCTGGGAATCATGCAAAACATTTTGTGGATTAAGCAATGTACATAACACGCAAATAAAATAACATTAAAGCAACACCTAAATTAGTGGAAGCAATTATCCTTAGAAGTAACACTTCCCAGCATCTGGTGTCTTGCATTCAGTGTCTGGAACATTGATAGGGCTTTTTCAAAATACTGCATTTTCCCTTCGAAAATAACATGAATGTACTGTTCACTTGTGTGTCTAGAAGGAATGGCATCCTGCTAGCAATGGTTTCTAATCTAAATGATAGAAAGACCTTATCTGAGACAGGGTCTCACTGTGGAGCTAAGGCTAACCTCAAATAACAATCTTGCCAATTGCTGGAATTTTAGGTGCACCATGGCCAGAAAACTATTTTTTCCAGTTGAAGGTAAATTTAGAAAAAACAAGGAAAACACACACACCACACACACACACACACACACACACAGAGAGAGAGAGAGAGAGAGAGAGAGAGAGAGAGAGAGAGAGAGAGAGAGAGAGAGAGAGAGAGAGAGAGAGGAATGAACCTACTGATTCTCTATTTGCCTCCAGTCCAGGTCCCAATCTTCTTCAACCACCTTGCTCCTTGTCCCAGGAGACTCCCTAAACACTATACTAGCATCATTCAGCTTCTCTGAAGTCTAGCCCACAGAGGCAGGAACAGGAGGTGAGGAAAAGGACAGGACAGACACATTTCTTCGCCATGCTCAATCGGTTTTACTGACTGTCCTGTGGTAGCCGAACCCTCACAGGAGTGACTGCTCTGGATAGCCCCTTCTCCATGTATCCAGTCCTGAACACAGTTCAGTCACACAGAGCTCATGCTGTGGAATCACTGGGCCCCTAACCACTGGCACAACTCTGTGAATATCTGACACTTCCCCTCAGGTGAGCCTGCTCAGCTTCCAGCTGTACTCTGACCAATATGGGAGTACACACACCCATGCATTATGTTTGCACACCAAAACACACATACCTACATCAATGTGCACAGACAAACACACACCAGCTTACACACAGACATGTGGACATGCACAAACATACGCACACACACCTATACATATATACCCACATAGACACAAATTCCCATTTTTATATTCATATAACTACATGTAAACATAACACATAAAAATATACAAGGCTACATAAAAATACACATGAACATGGTGGGGAGGCGGTGAGACTCCAACCAAATCTGACTAAAATCTAACACAAAGTTAAACCTTGCCCCCAAAATAAAGTGGGCCATAGTTCCTTTAGTAGGTTCCCAAAATTGTTATGACTCTAAATTTTATGGCTACAAATCAAATGTCTAGACATAGTGAGAGACCAAACCCACAAAGAAGTCACAGGGTCAGGAGACAGAAAGCACGTATCTGAAGGCCAGCATCCTGGATAGGGTTCCCCCTCCACAAGAGGAAGGTGGGACTTGAGTTATGCAAGTCCTTATATCTCAAGACACCCTGTGCCAACCAGCAAGATGGCTCAGTGAGTAAATACTTACCACCAAGCTTGATGGCATGAGTTTGATCCCCAGAACCCACATGGCCGAAGGAGAGAATGACCCCTGCAAGCTGCCACCTCATCTTCACAGGCATGTGCATGCATACCTACATAGAGAAAAAAAGGAATAAGTGTATGAGGACAAAAAGACCCACCAGGCTCCCTGTGCCCTAATGGCCCCACCATTCTCAGACAACGGATGTGAGGCTCCCGATACAGTAAGTGCCTCAGCAGCATTAAAAGCAGGAGAGGGCCATTCTATTTAAGAAGGATGTGTACAGGCATACACCATAAATTCATACAGTGTTACTTTTCTCCATGACCCCTTCCACACCAAAAAGCAAATTCATCTACTTAAGAGCACTCAAGACAGAAATGAACCTTGACAGAAAAATCTAGTCTATTCCTTCTAATCAGCAGGGCTGCACCAACACCATTGTGGACAGATAGGTATTTGTTCTATTTTTAAAGACCTCTAAGGAAGGAGATTCTACAGACTCACTTGGCAGCTGACATGCCAATATGTTGTAGGGCAACATATGACTCCACGGAGGGGTGAGCTTTCAGAATGCATGATGGCGTGGAGTGTGTGTGTGTGTGTGTGTGTGTGTGTGTGTGTGTGTGTGTGTAACCCTGCCTTGCATTTTGAAAGTTTGAAAATCCTAGCCACCCTGATCATTCCTCTTCCTTGTAGTTATAATTGGCCCCTCCGAAATCAGGTAGCTTAAGTGAGGGGTAGGAGAGGCTTTATGCAGGGAAGAAAGGCAAACAATATTTGATTTTGTGGCAAACAAAATGACAATCCCAAGCCCACAGAAATAGAGCAACTGCGATGGAAGGAAGAGTGGGGGAGGGGGGAAGAGAAGCTTCTTCTGCCCATCACATGGTAGACGCTGGAGAAACACCACACATGTTAAGTCAATGCATGCATTCAGAGAATCTCCTGACTCTTCTCAGATTAATAAGAAATGATTTATCAGGTATGCTTTTTGAAGTGGCCAGAACACAGCTGATTTGAGGGCCAAGCCAGCCAAACCTGTATGCAATATTCTTGCATGTTGACAGGCCATAAGAACCTGATTTTGACTGACACAAATGGACTCTGACTTCATACTAGACCCAAGACCTTCTCCTATCCAGGAACCAAGCAGAAATAAAATGAGAAGACGAATGCTGGATGAACTGCAGCCTAGCTCCTCTCTAAGGCACCAGGATATGTTCACGGGCCATATGAAGGCTGTGTGTAAGCTTACTTGGCCTCCTCATTTGAAAAGTTATTTCTCCATGTGGATCGACCCCTGAATACCCACTAAAACTACAAATCTTAAGCTATTTTTAACTAGGACAATGTTGCTCCCAGGAGAAATTTAGCAATACTTCGAGATATTTTTTATGGAATTCTCATTGGCATTGTGTAGAGACCAGAGACCCTGTCAGCCATCCCATAGCACACGGAACAGTGGCCCCCAGTAAAGAATTATTTGGCCAAAAATGTCACTGATTCCAACACTGAGAAACTCCAGGTGTGAATCCTTTCTAAAATACTTTCTTGGACCATGAAAAAGTTTTTCATGTTAAAATTTTAGCAGAAAAAAACATAAGCATTTGTTTTCTGTCCTCATATTGACTACTAACTCGTAAAATATTCACTAAATGCCAATAGTCCTTTACTAGGCACATTGAATAAAGAAAACACAATGATGCTCCTTGTAAAGACACATAAACCAGTTGTACAAAAAAGTCTGAAATTAGGGATATCTTGTTGAAACAGTAAATCAGAGATCCCATGCTCCCCCAACAACAACAGCAATAAAAACAAAAATACCCAAGCATATAATGAACTTAGTCACTTCTTGGGAGGAAAGGAAGGGTTCAAATCTCTGTATAGCGGGTAGACACATCGAAGTTAGAGGTTAGAATCAGTAGTCTCAGTCACTCTTCATCTTCTGTTTTGAAACAGAATCTCTCACTGAACTGCAGTAGACCAATCCATCTAGAGAAACTGGCTAGTAAACCCCAGCCCCCACACTGGGGTGTCCATTTTTCCAGCTCAAGATTATAGGTATATACTACATTGTCCAGATTTTTACAAGCCCTTGGGAATCTTAACTTAAGTCCTAATATCAAGCCCTTTACTAAGCAAACTGTCTCCCTGGCCCAGTTTTTAGACATTTCTGATTAAATGAGTTAGATTGAGAATACACAGGTCATCCTGGGATAAACAAAAAATCTTTAAGTAAGTTTTTTGTTGTTGTTTTTTATAAGGAATGCGATACATGTGCAATTGAAGGAGAATGAGTGGAGACAATTCAGTGTTGTAATCTTTCTGGAACACTGCAGCATTCCCTCATAGAAGACATAAATGCCAGTTCAGCTCCAGGTCAGCCAAGAAGAGCTAATGCAACTGCAATCCAGCTGATGTCATAAAACTGGAGGTGTGAGAGCCCTGGGCTCTGGTACTTAGAAGAAGGTATGACCGAGAGTTCCTGGATTCTCACTTCTTCCTCTTTTCCCATCTGGCGCCTCCAATCATGTCACCTACTCTAGGGCTACAAATAAGCCTAGAGACATTCTCTCTAGCTCTTGGAAAGAAAAGAAAGAAAGAAAGAGAGAGAGAGAGAGAGAGAGAGAGAGAGAGAGAGAGAGAGAGAGAGAGAGAGAGAGAGAAAGGAAAGAGGAAAGTTTAAACAATGTGCATAAAACTTTAAAATCCTACCCCAGACCTGGTCCCTAGAGTCCTTTTCCAGAGGCAGACAATGTCATTATGTATCCTATGTCTTCTGCAGCTACTCAAACATAAACATACATATATAAGCTTTCATATTACAGACAGAAGTGGGCACATATAACACAGGCTTCTGTCCTTTTACTCATCAATCCCCTTTCTTCCATGCCTCATGTATGTACAGACCATCTATATCAATGTTAGGATGGCATCTCAGAGCACTGTGCAAAGCAAATGCTTATTCTCCTCTCTCACAGTTTCTGGAATCCCTTGTCCTGGAAGCCCTCATCTGGACCAGTTCTCTCCTGTCCACCACTGCACTTCTATACTCTACCTAAAAGCCACTACTTCTGGTGTGGCTCATCTGACTTAATCTCCTTTGGCAGAAAGCAAACTGTTTCATGCTGAGTACCTTGTGAATACTGGCAACACTTTGGAAAGAGACTTTCATGAACTATGTTGAACCTATTACTAGAATTCCAGAGCTAGAAATCTCAGAAGAGATTTCTAAGGTAGAATACAGGCTCTTGAGATGATGGCATTCTGAGTTTGCAGTCAGTCATCTTGGTTATGGGCCCATGCAAGAAAATCCACACCCAGAAAGCACCTTGAACTGATATTTTTAGCAGTTTTTCCTCTCCTGTAGCTAAAAGCCCAATTCTTCAAAAAGTTCTCAGGTTATTCACAATCCTCTTATTGAGCTGGGAGACTGGAAAGAGTGAGCCTGCTATCTCTTCATGGGGTCATTCATAAACAGGCTTTTGTAACACACACCCTTGCCATTCTAAGACCTGCTATTAACAAATTGAGAAAGATCAGAAAAGAACATTTTTGTTTAACTAAACTCTCCATAATGCCTCCTATGAAATCTTATATACCATATGAAAATGCCAGTATCTCTTCATCAGATGCATAAAATGTTGCCTGAGTGTCCACTAGCACCGTCTGCTCCATTACAGGCAGAAATGAACATTCCCCTTCTATCAGGGGCAGGACTGGCATGGGCTTATTCTGAAATTAGAGCCAGTTTGGGAAGAGGACTGAAGAAAATACTAAAATCTTGTGGTAACACAGAGTTCTAGGCACAACTTTGCAAATGAGGAGCATTTGCAATCCTCTAGGAAACTTGACTAATTTTCCTGAAAGGGTTTAAACAAAGTCATGATTTGATTAGAAGAAATTCTATGTCTTTTACAGTCCCTTCCCTCTCCAATTACCCTTCTTTGTTTTTACTTGCTTAAGGTATGTGCCAGCAGATAAAGAGTGTGCCAGATGCTCTGCCTATATACCTGTGTAAAAATGATCCCCAGTTGGTCCCAAGGTACTGCAGTATCACATATTCTATTCTAGGGATTTCTATCACATTCTATTATTAAGAAGCAGATAACTATAGGACTTAGTTAAAAAAAAAAAGAGATCTGAGTCTCATTGGTTGAGCTAACATGGAAGCAGGAGAGCTGGGCAGGTAAATGGGAATAGCATGAGGTCTTGCATTCTCAAAAGCATTATTGCCATTCAAATGAAAAGTAAGGCTAAGTAGGCTCTGCTAACAGTAATCAGGACTGAAGAATGCAGATGGAGAGTAAGCACAGGTCAGCTTCAAGTAGTGACTAAAACAGATATATAACCTATATTTCTGTCCATAAAGTGAAAACTCCCAGTGAACATCTAAATACACAGACAAAAGACACAGAGCCTCTGCTACTGAACAAGCTGACAATGAGTGGTAAGGGTAACTGAGGGGGAAAAGTTACCATTAAATGGGAGTAAAGACGGAAACTGGAAATGATGATGGGCTAAAGGACTCCATAGCTGTTAAGGCATGGAAAAGAGTCAGAAAATTGCTTCAACGTGACTAATGATCACAGCTGGGGTTGAGTAGTAGAAGGGGGCCATGTTTTCTCCCTTGGCAACTGAATGTCTAGTGTAGACACTTAACATGATAAATTAAGAAGAGTAAAGGGAATGGGGTAAGGGTTCAAGTTTCAGATTTGCTGATCTTCAGATACCCATAGGACATGGAAGTTGATTACAAACTTCTAACTTTTCAGAATTTATATTAACTTTAAATTATTTCTGTAAGAGCACATAGGTCTATTCTCCATGGGGATTTTACTGAAAGCCTGACAGTCCTAAAAACAAGAGAGAATATCATCGAACATGGGAAAAGTTCACAGCAACAGATGATGGTAATAGACCCACTACACAAAGAGAGTGAAAACTATCAATTGGAAATAAATAGCACAAACCAGTTGACTGTCCTTTAGTCCCAAGAAAAAGGGGAACCTAACTAAAAGTGATGCATCCATCATTCCACCAAAGCAAAACCAGTATAAGTATGTCAAAGCTGAACCACAAGGGCTGGTGAGATGGTCCAGCCAT